GGAGAATCCCCTAAAGCACCATCTTTGTGGGTGGTGCTCTCGAGTCCTGGGTGAACCCTCTGTATGTGTGTGCACAGTCGCAAGTTGTTTCTTCTCCGGCAGCTTTCATGGCTTTCTATTCTGCTGTGGGGGCTTCCCCGGTGGCTCCCGCCAGTGCAGGAGACACAGGTTCAATCCCTGGGTCGGGAAGATGCCCTGGAGGAGGACGTGGCAACCCACTCCAGTATTCTTGCTTGGGAAACCATGGACAGAGGAGCCTGTTGGGCTACGGTCCACGGGTCCTTAAGAGTTAACAACTAAATAACAGTTCTGCTATTGCTTCTCCTTACACATTTCTTAATCTTCTATATACAAGAAGGAGTCAGTTTCCAAGTGGCTTTATAAGGAAGCATCTGCTTTCCAGGTCAGCACGAGTTAATGAAGGATGGTGGATCATAGTCTCCAGGGGATGTTAAGTAGAGCAACAGTGATTCAGCAGGTGATTGTCCCTTGTGAACTCAGCGAGGTAAGTACAAAGATGACTGATAATTAAATATAACTTCTGAGTAACTCACTTCACTCTCTACTTTTTTCAACTTTCCTATCAATGGCTTCCTTTCTCAATGTAAACCCTTACTCCAGTCATAAGCAAATATTACAAAATGAAGGTAATGACTGTTCCTTGGGGCTGTTCTTGCACAGTGACTATGGGTAAATAGTAAGAAGACTCATTTGGGGGTACTTTTATCATTGTTCTCGCTTTATAATCACGGCAGAAAGAACTCTGGTCTTTCTCAAAAATGCCAAATGCAATTAAAGAATGATTTTCTTATCCTAGCTTCAAATGCCATGGATTGAAAGGTAAACTTGGGAGGATAGAGGCATATTTGATTGGGTATGAGAAATGTTAAGTATGTGTGTATGTGTATGTCAGTCAGACAGACGTGTAATACAGGCGCAGCTGAGACCACATAAAGCCTGAGGCTTCTTAAATGAGCATACTAACATTTAAGCAATTAACAGGTCTCATCATCCCGAGGTCCTTGACTGTAACAATGGTGACATACCATGCTGAGGCCCACATACAGGTTTGTACAGAGGTGTTCATGGGGTCACTGGTAATCAAGGTTCCTTCACCCACAAAGCATGATGACATTTTTCACCCCTCTTCCTAAGGAGATATTACCAGCAGACCCCAACTTGTTTGGCACCAGGGACTGGTTTTGCGGAAGATGATTTTTCCAGAAGAACAGAGCAGAATCGTAGACAGAGGCAGGTCTGAAGACAGAGAAAACTTCAGGTGACTTCCTCATGACTTTTTAGTTTCTGGATCCCGGGCTCTTAGCATGCTTGCGTGCTAAGTTCCTTCATTCATGTCTGACTCTTTGTGTAGCCACCAGGCTCCTCTGTCCATGGATTGTCCAAGCAAGAATACTGGAGAGGGTTGCCATGTCCTCTTCTAGGGGATATTCCCAACCCAGGGATCAAACCTGTGTCTCTTATCACTAGTGTCAGCTGGGAAGCCCCCAGGCTCTTGGAGACTGGATTATTTTTGCTTATATTTGGATTGTATAAGGCACCCCTCTTATCTTTATAATTAATTTTGAACTCTATTATTAGGGTACAGGGATTACTTTTTCGGTGACTTTGAAGCACTATGTTAGACATTGTAAAGACTGCATTTTTTATTTCCTAGTTACTTCATCTTTTGTCGCACCATCAGCCAGCAGTACTGAGAGTCTATGCCACGCCCCAGCCTTTCCTCTCACTGGCTCCCTGTGGCATGGCTGGGCCTCTTCCTTTATGGATATCTGCTAACTGTAACTTGAACTGATAGGGAGAAAGCATGCCAACCAGCACAGGGAAAGCTGCAACTAGAAGCACAGATCTCTACCCAAGGGCTTCAGCTCCATCCTAATTCTGGTCAAATAGGGTTAGCACTCTGAACCCATTACTATCCCAAAAAAGAACATCAGAGTGACAAGGGGGTGTCCACGATCTTTAATGACTTTTGCTGAAGAAATGAAGGAGATGACATGAAACAGTGACCAGTCTATTAATTCTTATACCTAATCAGCTCCCTTGCCTTCTGAAGCTTTTTACTCACTGCACTTTTCTTTCCACCTCTGGGGCCATCCATGCAAGGCCAACTTGTGATGTGCAGGGAGCTAATTTTTTACGCAACGGTCTCTAAGGCTTCATATTAGAATCCCTTCTTCCTGACTGTTGTTCCCTGGATCTAGAACCTCATCCCTCTTCACTGGGATGGCTCCTGATTCAGTGACTCCTCATTTCCTTCATGACCATGTGCTCAGAACCTTCAGGATTCTGTTCCCACAGCTCCCTTGGTCTCCTTATCACTGGTACAGAACTTGTTTGCTGATGGGTCCACCAGGGTCTTTGTCTTATGCCCAGCCTGTCTTGGCAAAACAGTATGTTCTTCATAAATCTGTCTGATAGACTGACTTAGTGAATGAATGCCCATTTAAACACTTAATGATTTTATTCCAACATTAGCAACTAAATAGAAAGAAGTCTCCTTTGCCCCTCTCTGAAAGAACATGGCCCACCTGGGGAAGTGGACAGAAGGCCTACCTTTCAATGAATACTTGAAGTATTGATCCAAATAGCAGGAATCCAAAAAAACAAAAACAACGACAAAAAAAAAAAAGAGAGAGAGAAAGAAAAAAATATCAGGAATCCATGCAACAGAATAAAGACTTCTAATCATTGCCTCTCAGACCATGCTTCCCTCTCTGCCCTGCCAGGTACCCCCACCCTTCCTGCACCAGCCTAGCCACCTGGCCTTCTTTCTGTTCCTCCAGCATGTCACTTCTCTTCCTCGCTTAGGGCCTCTGCCTTGCTGTTTCCCCCACCAGGAAGGCCATAGTCTTAGAACTTTGCAGAGATGGGGTTTCTTATTTAGGTGGCAACACAAATGTTAGCATTTCTTGTAGAGCACTTCTCCTTAGAGTATTTCTCTCTCCTTTCCCAAATTAAAGCCACTCCTTCACCTCTCAAGTCTCTGTTTTCTTCTTTGCTCTGATCCCTTTCTGTAACTTCATCTGTTCAGTGGTTCATTGTCTGTTTTCCCTGGCTGATGAATAGCTTCCATACTGTCCTGTTCAAGACTAAGCAGAGTGCCAGTCCATGGCAGGAACTAATACTTGGTAATTCATATTGATTACATGTTTGGTGAGTTAGTGAATTCAAGAATAACCTTTGATATAAATTATTTAATCCCAAAGAAAGAATTTTAGTGACAGAATCTTAGGTGTCATTGTGGAATACACTTTTTGGAACGTTTTCCTCCCAATTTGTTCATACCAAGCAATGCTAAGCCCTTCTTCTCTGCCCACCCTCCTTCTTCTTTTAAACATAACTAGATCTCAACAGTAAGTTAGTTTCTCAGAATGCTCTGAGACACATTTTCAGACTATCATTTAGAATTCCTTTTATTACAAGAGTTTTGTAAAGAAACATCTTTGTAGGTAATGAGGTTACTGTGTCCTCCAAAGAGCTTTATTCTCTAGAAATGACAGCAAAACAGGTTGGTCTCATTCTTTGTATTAGGACTCCTGTCCTAATGTCTCTTTCAGTTCATGTTTATCCTAACATTTCTTCCTTATGTTTGACTGTTGTAGGACTCCATTTCTTCTCAACACTATAAAATTCACAGAGTTGTTGGATGAAGTGTGGATGTGTGCTCAGTGGTGTCCCACTTTTTACGACCCTATGGACTGTAGCGGGCCATGCTCCTCTGTCCATGGGATTTCCCAGGCAAGAATAATGGAGTGGCTTGCCATTACCTATCCATATCATGTCTCCTGCATCGGCAGGCAGATTCTTTACCACTGAGCTACCTGGGAAGCCCTTTGGATGAAGTGCTTTACTTCAAATAGCCTATTTCAGAACCTCTTGGGAATGACAAATAGAACAGAAGAGGAAAGTGGCTAGAGTGTGAAGCAATTGTGGTCTCCAGGTGAGATCCGCTTCACTGCCTTTCTACAGGGGCTGATACGGTCTGAGAGCTCAGATGACTCTAATTTCAGGTCACTGGTCTTCATCTCCACTCCCTCCACCTCACTGTGCCTTCAATCTTCAAAGTTTTCTCATCTCTGAGAGCTGTCATTCCTCTCTTTCTTAAATTCCCTCCATTAGCTGACTTTTCCAATTTATCTTCTAAGTTTCTTTCTGTAGCCTACTTTTTTGGATTAAAGCTTTATTTTGTACTTTGAATTCTCAGTTCTTGCTCTAAATCTGTTTACAGTGTATTTCATTGTACACTGTGTGTTGAGTAAATAGTAGTTATATGGAAAGGGTATTAATAAAGTTCTATAAGACAACTGAAGGGGGCCGATACCAGATCGTATTATACATTTTTGATGGCCATCAGGTGTTGCGTTTATTTTCTTCTGTTGTGGAAGTATTAGCCCCAGGATGCCGTCAAAGTTTGCCTTTACCATTCTCTGCACCTTATTCATTTTCTATTAATTTTTTCTAATTATAAAAGTAATTACACGTTAATATGGAACAGGAAAAGGTAATTAAAAAAACACTCCAGCATAATCTTGCCAAGGGTGAAAACACTGCACGCCTTTTCTTTGCATGTCAATTTCCTTCTAAATCTTATGCAGCATTAAGAAAAAATACCCAAGAGATCGCTCTAAATCCAGGCGATGCTGAAGATTAGCTGTTATTCACCAAGTTCATACGGAAATCAAAGACTCTCGGTGGAACAAGGAAGCTCGCTTCCAGCAAAGGAACCTGGGTACCCCGGGTTCCCTTCAAGGAGGCACCTCTTCCAGAAGACCGCGAGTTCCGTAGCCACCTGGGAGCGGAGCGGAGCGGGAGGAGGCGGAGCTTCCGTGATTGGCATAGAGGGAGAGGAGTTACAGGGCTGCCACCAATCAGGACTCGGCTTTGTTTTCTTGTACTGACCAATGAGAGAAGCGCTGCTGGTGAGCCTGTCTCCAAATCGGAGACACCCACTCCTATCGCGACCAGTCACCAGGCGCTTCTTATACGGCACTCGCCGTGCTCTCGCCCCGTGGGCGGAGCTTTTTCGCTCCGCCCCTCCGGCTGCGGCTCCGCCCCTCCGCGGGCGGGGGCCAAGGCGTTGACTCGCGGCTGGAGCCCGGGGTTGGGGGGGGGCCGGGTTCTCCGCTCGTGAGTCCTGCGTCTGCCGCCGCGGTGCCGAAACCCGCAGGCTGCTGATTGTCCTTAGCCGCGGCCACGGCCGCAGCCTCTGTACTTCGGCCCCGGGCTGCCGACGCCTGAGAGAGCGCTCCTCCCGCGGCCACGGCCGCCCGGAGCAGGTAAGGGGCGCCAGGGCTGCAGCGCGTGTCCGAGCCCGAGCGCGGGGCGGGCGGCGGGCCAGCTCCCTGCTCTCCCGCCGCAGCCACCGGCCGATCGGGCCGCGTCTCCCGAAGCCTCCCGCCCGCCTCGGGCGCCTCCGCCGGGATCCACGGCCGCTGCACCTGGCAGCCGGTGGGGGCGGGACCCCCGGAGTCCCGGACGCGGCGGGACTCGGGGCGGCGGCCGGGCCGGCGGGGCGGGGGATGTGCAGGTGGAGGGAAACGCGGAGTTGAGCCAGCCGGACTCCGGGGAGAAGGACCTGCTGATAAGCGGTGAGCAGCCCGGCGGCTTTTTATTTTTTTAAGCGAGAGAGGTATCTGCACTTAGGTGGTGTGAGTTACACATTCCTGGAAACGGCGCTTTGCACACTGCGTTTACCCAGGCACACGATTTACTTCTTATTTATTATTTTGAATTTCAAAGCAGCTTCTAACGTGAACTTACTTGGGGCTTTTTCTTCCGTGACAAGCAGACCCAGCAGTGTGACTCACCTTTGTCTGGGCTGCAGTGGGGGCCGGGCTGTTGGGGTGAGGCGAGGATGCCGAGCTGCTGTGGAAGTTGGTGGGGGAGGGATTTTGTTTCTGACTCTCTCCTTGGGTGGGTGTAGAATTGCGATTCTTATTTGTTTAAACGTTAGCATTCGAATAATAATAATAATAATAAAGCCTTTCTAAACATAGACTCTGGGGTTTAGATTTTAGGGGGCTGCACCTGCTACCCAGGCAGTAGTACTCTGCAGACAAATCCTAGGCAGTTGACTGCAATGACTGATGATTCACCTCTGATGAAGCACCTTGATTGATGTTACCTTTCCTCTGACGTGCTTAAAAGCCTTTTCTCACTTTCCATTTGTTCACAAGTGAAATGAAGGTCACGAGTTTGAATAGAAATGGCACAGTGAGGACTCTCGCAGCGGTCCTCCCTTCCAGGTGCACTGCATTTAGGTCTTTTAATTGAGCAGCTCACTGCACTCCATCAATATTGGCATCCTCTTAACTCTCCAGAAACAGGTAGTGCGCCCCACGCCCATTTTGCAGGTACATAAACTCAAGGCCCTAGAGATGAAGGGAATTCTGCCCCAGGTCACTTGACTTCTGCTCTTATACACCTGTTAAGGGGTTTAATGCAGGATCCAAGAAGATTCCTGCTGTCAGTCAAGCTTCTGCCTGCCGATTTGATTCACATGCTCACCAGTCAGGGGTGGAGATGGTTATTTCCAAATGAAATATTCTCTTAGGCTTTTTTTTTCTCCTAGGTTGCTAAGATAGTTTGAATTTCACCAGAAAGGTCATTTTTCACACAGGCAAGAAAACCTAGTGATGCCATCTCTCTTTTAACCTAGTGAAAAATCTCTATTTTAAGTTTTGGGAGGTTTTCCACATTAGAAAGTCTTTTCTTTGTTTGCATCTCTGGCTAGCATTGGGCTTGAGTAGTGTTTTCTGAATTCAGTTGAATTAGTTAATATTCATAAGGCAAATAAAAATAATGATAAAAGAATAAAATTTAAAAAGGTAATACATTTTGGTTATGATTTTTTTTTTTTTGCAGGGAGTTTCTGCTATAAATTTAGAAGTGTCAAACATGTAAAATCCTCCATCCTTTGATGAGAGTAATGCAGGGGAGTTCGGGAAGTTCAAGGATTAATGGCAAGTAGGTTTAGTTGGATGGATGGGAGGGACTCCTTGAATAATGCCAAGGTGTGGGGACTTCTAGGGAGTTGTTAGGTTATGTTAAATTTATTAGTCATCAGGAACATGGAAATGCCTTATTTATTACTGAATGGAACTATTTGATCATAAAGTTACCCCTTGTTTTCGTGGCAGGTGCTCTGCTGGGTGGAACATGTACATTTTGAAATAACGTATTTGTTAAGTAAAGTATCCTCACACAGGCCTTGTCAGTCCAGTTCTGATTCCCTTTACTCATTTGTTTTTTTTTTTGCACTCAATGTCTTCACTTAATTTTTACTCTTCTGGTCAAATTAAAATTTCTGGCACCCAAGCAGAACATTTCATAAAGAAACCTTTATCATCTGCTGATTTGTACAGAAAGTGAGCTTTCTTTTGATGACATCTCTTGCATTGTGATGTGGGAAGTTGGAAAGAGATTTATTCTGTTTGCAGAGTGGTGGTGGTTTAGTCGCTAAGTCGTGTCCGACTCTTTGTGATCCCATGAACTGTAGCCTGCCAGGTTCCTCTGTCCATGGGATTTTCCATTCAAGAAAACTGTGTTAGGTTGCCATTTCCTTCTCCGGGGAATCTTCCCAACCCAGGGATTGAACCCAGCTGTCCTGCACTGCAGGCGGATTCTTTACTGCCAAGCCACCAGGGAAGCCTTGTAGAGTATTTACCTGTATTCTTACCTAGGGGTCATAGCCCCCCTGTGATGTTAAGGGTTTCTACCCTTCAAAAAAGATTTAATTACAACATTACAGTACTTCCACTAGATGGTGCACCGGGTGCTGTTTACTGCAGATTTCAGGTTTTTTTTTTAAATAAGCATTTCACTGACAAAGATACAAACGTACACCAGCTGTCATCATTGAAGTTCAGACAATTGCAATGAGTGATTTAAGTCAGCTTTATTAAATGAGATTAATTGGAAGGACATGGCAGCTGAATTTTAAGTAAAGGAAGCTGTTAGTAATTTTAGAAATAACCTGTGAGAAAACTGGTTCTTGCTGTAGACAGGTACCTGGAACAGTGTCAGTTTATTGGTTTTTATTTCTGTACACTTGAACCTGTTTGTTTTTAATGGTTTGTATTTTGTTTACATCTTATGTGAACCATGATGAGCTATTTGAGTGTGGTTTTATGCCTCCTATGAACAAACACATAAACAGTTTTTTTTCCAGGCGTGTAAAACTGTTATTTTGCTTTTTCCTTGAATTCTCATGTAATAAATCTTTCTATTCTTCTAGAAAAGCATGATTATCAGCTTCAAGTAGGAAAGAGAGAGGAGCTTTCTCCCCTGGAAGGCAGGAGCTGTTGGCTTGCTAGTTACTGGTTAATTGCTGCTCACTAATTGTTACAGGAGGAAGATGAGAAAACACAGATGCTGCTTTGATAATGCCGCACCAGGTGTAGACATGGCGGTGGAGGAGAAGGACTAGTTAGGGTGATTGCATTTTGTGAGGTGTTGCAGAAAACACTGGACTTTTAAAAGGCAAGATGAGCACTCAAGTGGGAAGGTCTTTGGTGGGTGGTGTGTGTCTGTATAATTCAGTTCCACTGACTTTGCGTAGGCAGGAGAGCTTTGGTAATTTGGTATAATTTCTTGGAAGTAGTTCTGGTCCTCAGGGGATTTGATGGCGCTTTGGGAAGGGGAAATAAGTTGGTGACGCTCCTTCTAGGAGGGAAGCTCCTGGCAGAGCTGCCAGCTCTTGGGAGAGTGTGGGCTGGGGCACGGAGTGTGGGTGGCTGTAAGCAACCAGGGAGATGAGAGAGCTGCCCGAGTGTGGGCTTCCTGGAGTTCTCTGCACCTGAGCCCACAGAATCAAGTCAGTGAGCATTCTCAGTCATGTTTATAGCGGTCCCAGGGCCAGGCTTGGGCGACTTAACGCTTCCGTCTTCAAATTTATGTAGAATAAGCAGAATCCTGAAGTTGCTAAAGTGAATGACTTTTGTATGCAAGTGAACAGCTTAAAAGAGTTATTTGGCATATGTTAGGTTCTAAAATAATGGTTCAGTTCAATCGCTCAGTTGTGTCCAACTCTGTGCGACCCCATGGGCTGCAGCACCCCAGGCCTTCCTGTCCATCCTCAGTTCCTGGAGTTTACTCATACTTGTGTCCATTGAGTTGGTGATGCCATCTAACCATCTCATCCTCTGTCATCCCCTTCTCCTCCCTCCTTCAATATACTTACTTTTGATACTGTTCTTCTACTCCCTCTGGAAACAGGCTTTATTATAAATAGGTAGCCTTGAATATGGAGAAGGCAATGGCACCCCACTCCAGTACTCTTGCCTGGAAAATCCCATGGACAGAGGAGCCTGGTAGGGTGCAGTCCATGAGATCACTAAGAGTTGGACACGACTGAGCAACTTCACTTTCATTTTTCACTTTCATGCGTTGTAGAAGGAAATGGCAACCCACTCCAGTGTTCTTGCCTGGAGAATCCCAGGGATGGTGGAGCCTGGCGGGCTGCTGTCTATGGGGTTGCACAGAGTCAGACACAACTGAAGCGACTTAGCAGCAGCAGCATAGCACTTTTGCTGTAGTTTGTATGTGTATATGGGAAAAGGGGCTTCCCAGGTGGCTTAGTGGTGAAGAGTTGCCTGCCAATGAAGGAGACACAGGAGATGCAGGTTTGATCCCTGGGTCAGGAAGAGCCGCTGGAGGAGGAAATGGCAACCTGCTCCAGTATTCTTGCCTGGAAAATTCCATGGAGAGAAGAGCTTGGTGGGCTGCAGTCCATAGGGTCACAAAGAGTCAAATACGACTGAGCAGGTACACATGTATGTGTACATATGCCATAAGCCTCTGATCAGCTTTACTCAGGATTAAAGACTTGCTGTTTGCAAGACAATGCCTCTGTATGTGTACTTAAAGCAGTTTGAATCTTGAGAATCAAATACTTCTGAAGGTTGTAACTTCTTTTTCTGGCACTTGGAAGTTTGTGGAAATGATGTTGTAAAAATTTGGAGTTGATCCAAAGATAAAATCGTTTATGGAGCCATGGACCAAGACTTAGGAAGTTTCTACAGCTGATATAGAAACCATTTTTTCTCCTCTTCCTAATATGGCTTGTGATTTGACTTGAGAAGATTCTTTTTCGACCTCTCTGCTCTTTCCATGTTTTGAATTTAGTTCCCAGTAAGGCCCATCAGAGTTGACTGTTTTTTAGACGATTTCATCAGGGTATAGTGTTTAGGGGGAGGAGATGCTGGGCTGTGGGCAGTGAGGAGAGGAATTAATATCATTTTGATCTGTTTAGAGTCTTTTTAAATAGGATCAAAATTTCCTATTTTGGAATTTTCAAAACGATATCATTTCATCTTTAACATATACAAAGTTGAGTATAAAAACTTTAAGCTGAGGTTTTCAAACTTTACCATGTCTCAGAATCACTGTGGGAAGGGATTGTTAAAATTCCAGTGGCTGCTTCATTCTCACAGTTTCTAAATTCTCAGGTCTGGGAATAGGCCCTGCGAATACGCATCGCTAATAAGCTCCAGGGTGATGGCTGGCGATGCTTCTGGTCCAGGACCACACTTCGGAATCCACTGACACGATTCCAGGGGGAATATAAATGTAGTGGTGAAAAACCCAGACTTTGACGTTTGAAAGATCTGGCTTTGAATCCCTGCTCTGCTACTTAGTACTTTCTTTGACAACAGGCAAATTTCTTACCTCTGGTTTTCATTTCTAAAATGGAAATAATGTAGTATTATGATGTTGGGAGTATCACATGACCTTGAATGTATGTAAAAACTCATAGGACAGTGCCTGGGGGGTTATAAGCATGCTGTAATTGCTGGCTTTTAGTCATACAAATCAATTAGCGAATGAAATACATAGGATCCTGAATCTTGTAAAGTTGAAGTATGTTCCTTAACGACAGAAACATTTACATTTATCCTCATTTCCCTGCAGTGTGCTATGGGAGAGATATATGAGTGCTTGACTTCTGTTTAATGAATGAAGGAGATGTTTGTGGATCCTAGTAAGTTTCAAGAAACCTTTTTTAGGGACGTAGAATATTCACATTGGTAGTATGTCTTTTTCCCCCGCCTTAAAAGATTGAACTCTTTGATCAAAATATACTGGAGTTTAGCTACAATCATCGTAGTCCACACTTAATAGAGCAGGAGTCTTAAAGGTGGCTCTTGGGCGTTCAGTGCAGGAGGGAAGTCATCTTTTAAATACCTGCAGGCTCGCCTGGGGAGGGGTGACTGCCCTTGATGCCCTGGAGATATTCCTGGAGGTCCCACCCCAGCTGTTGGACCCCTGGTTCCCTCCCCCACCACCCCATCGCTAAGAGCCCACCTCTCTCTGGCAGATGTCCCCCCCACCCCCAGCCCCACATACCATCACTTCCTGTCACAGTCACCCATTTATTTCCGTTGTAACAGTTGTCACATGCTTACTGTAATTTTATCTGTTTCCTCTTTACGTTTCCTTCATTGGATGTCAGCTCCTGAGGGTAGGGACCTGGTCTTCACTGCTGTGACCTCAATGTGGGGCACAGTGGCTAGTGTGTGGAGACTTGCCACATACTGTGATGGGGTGTATGAGGTGGTCGGAACTGGGACCCTCCCCAGCTCAGGGTGCAGACAGGAGTTACTGGCCCTCTATCAATACCGGTCCAGGCAGAGCCACTCATGTTACTTTATTGTGTTTTCCCTCCTCCCCACATCAGCCCTCTCTCTTGGGCATAAATGTAATTTCATTGAGTTCTGCCACTTTATTACCTGGGCTGGCTGTGGCTTGCTCCTACTCCCCGCATTCTTGCTAGCATTTGATCATTTCTGACCTTACAATTTTTTCCAATCTGATGCCACAGATGGAGCAATCTTGGGCACATATGTTACTATTCTTATTGGCAATTCTGTTTACTAGTACAGTTAAGTATCCTGTCAGATGCTTCTTAGGTGTGTGGGTTTTGCCTTTTGCAAATTGGCATTGACATGTTCTTTGCCTCTTGTTCTATTGGGTTTCTTAATCTTTGCATGTTTCAGCCTTAATTTACAGGAGGTTTTTTTTGTATATTCTCGATGTTAATCTCTTATTAGATTTTAAACGATGCAAATATTTTCTTAGTTTTTTTTTGCGTGTCAAGATTTTTTATTGAACAGAATCTTAATTTTTATTACAATTTGATTCATCCATTTATTCCACCTTCCAGGTCTTGTTTAGGAAGTATTTCCCCATTCTTAGTTAGCAAAGGTGGGTTTCTAGTTTGTTGCAGTTCCACACTGGTTTTTGTTTTTATTTTTGTTGCTACAACTTATTTACATATTTTGCTATGTGGAATTGAGTCCCATCTGTGTGTCTTCAAAATTGTTTAAGCCGGTGGTTTTCAACTCTGGCTTTATGTTAGAATTAACTGGATAGTTTTTTTTTAAAAAGACATGCCTGTTTACCCCAGATCTACTGACTCTCTAGGGAGTGGAGTACGCAGTTGAATTTTAAAAAGGGCTTCTGGTGATACTGACATAGAGCCATGGTTGAAGCCATGTATCAGAGATACCTATTTGCAGTGCGGTAATAGAGACATACAGAGAATGGAATCGAGAGAGTAGCATTGACATATGTACACTACATGAGTAAATCAGATGGCTAGTGGGAAACTGCTGCGTCAAACAGGAAGCTCAGCCGGGTGCTCTGTGACAACCTAGAGGGGTGGGATGGGGTGGAAGGAGGCTCAGCAAGGAGGGTACACATGTGCACTTATGGCTGATTCACGTTGTACGACAGAAACCACAACATTGTAAAGCAGCTGTACTCCAATTAAAGAGAAAAAAGGAAAAGATATTTATGGTTTTTCAATACAGTTTTAGTTTCTCCATGGTTCTGTGTCGTCTTTGTTGGATTAATTCCTAGGTATTTCAGTTTTCGTTTCTGTGTGAATGAGACTTTTTACTCCTATTCTCCCCGTTTTTCTCCCTAGTGGAAGGAATCCTCTTGATACAGATATGTCTATATATATTGATGTAAGTCAGTTAGCTAACCTGTCTATGTTTAACCTTTATTGTGGGGGTAGCAGTTGTGCTGAGTCTGTTGTATTTTAATGGCTACTTTTTCTTTCGGGTGTTCTATGAAGGTGGTTATTTCATCTTTACATAATGGCTGTGTGTCTTTTCCTTCCACTTCTCACCACCTCGCTCTCTGTGTTTGGTCTCCTCACTGCATTTGTCTAGATTTGTGATGATGAGTGAAGATTAGCAGAGATAGAGGCCACTTGATCGCTTTAATACCCTAGGGGGAATCCAGCCTTAGTTTTGCCTTTAATTGGGAGATTTCGTTTTTTACAGTTGTATTTGATTTCATTAAGAAATTGTGACTTCATTGTTGCGGTTTAAAAAACGTGAGAGGTAGGCACAGATTTCTCTTCCTGATTTTGGCAAGGAAGCCAACCTAGATGGTATATAGCTCTTAACCCAGAAAAGTTACGGTTGTCTGTATTGAGGCTTTTAAATTAAAATTAAATTTTTTAAGTTAGATATTTGATTATTTTCATCAGGCTCTTCCAAAGTAAGTTGTATATAATGACTCCTCTTAGTACAAACCAGAAGTTGTTCTACATCTTAAACTGTGAATTTTAAAAAATGTATTCAAGTATAAGATATACCTGGAGAAATGCATACACCAGACACCTAGAAATATGTAATGCAACTGTCCTAAGTGTGCAGCTCACTGAATTTTCACAAAGCAGACATACTGTGTAACCAGCCCTTGGGTGAAGACTCAGAACATTACCAGAACCCTGGATGCCAGTCTCCTGCTCATTTTCACTATCTTGACTTGTAACCACGTGGAGTTAAAAGTGCTCTGTCCCCTTGCTCCTGCTGGGCTGCCAACTTTTGGTGCTTCGTTTGAAGGAGAAAGCAAAGTCATCTCTGAGAGCTCCTTTGAAGATGCATGGCCTTGACCTCAGCTTCAGTTCCCGTAGCTGCAGTTTTCAGACCTTTGGTCACAGTACGCTTTACACTCTTAAAAATTACTAAGGATGTTTTTGTTTGCATGGGTTGTATCTATTAGTATTTACTGATTTGCAATTTCAAACAGGAAATTTATTGTATTTAAAGGCACAGCCTCTTAATGTTGTCACATATTTTTAATGTCATGGATGTCGTGAAAGGTTCTTGAGGCGCCCCAGAGTTCCTGGATCCTGAGAGCAAAGAGCTGGCTCCTGACACCTCCAGCATAGCTGAGCGCCAGCCCCTCATTCTGCTCTGTCTCCTTAGGGTGCTGAACCAGATCCAGCCTCTTCTCTTCCTCCCAAAGTGATCTTCTTAGAAGCAGGGACTTGCTACATCTTGGCTCAGCAGGGCTGTATTTTTTCCCAGCGATAGAAAGCTTAGTAACACTAGGAAAGCAAATATTTCTGAGACTGGCAATTCCAGACCTGTACGAAGGGGCCCATTTTTCTCTCTTAACACTGTAAGCGCACGCTATTACTTGGCTGATTTTCCTCTTCTTTTAAGATGGAGATAATCACAAAGAAACCTGCAGGAAATGTCCTGTGTGTGTGTATCAAAAAATATTTGCTTGGTGACATCATCATAATTAAGAAGAGTTCTAACAGGTAGTAACCTGTTGTGATGCTTTCAATTTAATGTGTGGTTTAACCTGTTCTTCTGTTCTTTTATTTCCTGTAAATGGTAACTTGATCTTGATTTGATTCAGTGTCTATTTTTTGGGACAATATTGCTTCACAGTGGTGTGGTGTGTACTTGTAGCTGGATTCAGACAATGTTGGTTGTCTCTTTGTAGTATTCACGGTCATTAATAATCATTTTCTAGATCTATTATTTTATTTCTTAGTCACTGAGTTGTGTCCAACTCTTTGTGACTCCATGGACTGTAGCGCTCCAGGCTCCCCTGTCCATGGAATTTTCCAGGTAAGAGTACTGGAGCAGATTGCCATTTCCTTCTCAGGGGATCTGCCTGACCCAGGGATCGAACTCGTGTCTCTTGCGTCCCCTGCCTTCTTTATCACTGCTTTGCCTGGGAAACCCCCCTTTTTTATTAGGGGTTTGCAAAATGGCAGTATTTAAATTCGGTCTCCCTTTCTAATTTATTAGATATCTTTATAAAGAGGAATTATATTATTTGCGATATAGTTAGTATAGAAAGGCAGGTTAAATTATTCGATTTAAAAAAATTAGTTTTCAACATTATAAGATTATAAGACAAACATGTTCAGGATGAAGAAATGGGTTCATCATTTTTCTTTGAAACAGCAAGCTAAATTGTGTTGGTTTGCAGAAGTAAATCCAAAGCAAACTATGAATAGAAAAGTTCTTTTGTTGTATTCTTAAAGTAGCTTAACTTATTTGAAGTAAAAAAAATAATGGTAGACACTTCTTGGTGCTGTTAAGGGAATTGGATTTTTTTTTTTTGAGTTAAATCAAGACTTTTCTTGCCTCCACAGTGATGTATTTATTACATGTGACTATTCGTTCATGTATCTTACATTGTGTTCCGAGACCAAATTTGAAAGTGTAAAAGGCGTCCTGCCTTGAAAGTGTTGATAGTGCAATAAAACAGGTGAAAAGTTGACCTTTAAAAAATTATTTATTTATTTATTTCTTACTAGTTTTGGCTGCATCAGGTCTTCGTTGCTGCTCAGGCTTTTCTATAGATGTGGCAAGTCGGGGCTACTCTCTAGTTGTAGTGTTTGGTCTCTGTGGGTTTTATTTATTACAGCATTTCCCCCTCTTAAAAATTTATAATATTGAGAAACAGATGCTAGGAAATGAAGAGTTTCTTAGGAGAAACCGAAAGCCGTAGGTGACATATTATCTGGGCTACAAGTCAGAGGGAACCAGACAGTCTGTTGGAATTCGGGTGAGAGAAAAAGAGGGCGGGTGCTTCCAGTCTCTCAGGGCAGACTTTCACCCTGCTTCCTGCTGGTGCCAGCCAGGAGTGGAGCAGGTCCTTCGGCTTCAGGTCAGGCTGGTTTTCAGCTACCCCTCCCTCCCCACATTCCATCTCATCACTTGAGCGGTACTTACTTAGTGCCTAGATGACAAAAGATGATATCAATATTTGTGTACGTTTGTGAAACCCCGCGTGGCCACTGATTAGTAAGAGCTGTTGGCAGTGGGATTCTTCACACCTTCCTCTTCTGTGTATTTCAGGTTGGTGTCCTTGGAAAAGTGTACAGAGTTCAAGCACTGAGATTTGTTAACTTGTTTTTGGCTCAGTGTCTTGAACTTTGTAAATGACAAAGAGTGACATTGGATTGGCTTCTGGTGTTTTCCGTGTGTCTGATCTCCAGAGCACTCTTGACAACATACTCTGTTG